AGCGAAAGTGGGTTGTGGTTGAGAGACTTCAGCCCTCTGAGCTTCGTCCCTGAAGAGCCTCTTGTCTTCTTGCTCCTGACTGAGGTCCTCTTCTCTGCCTGCAGATCTTGGATGTCCGGGAGAACCCAAACTTGGTGATGCCCCCAAAGCCTGTGGACCGAACTTCAGAGTGGTACAACATCGACTTCTCCTTGCAAAACCAGTTGCGGCTGGCTGGGGCATCTCCTGCCACGGTAGCAGCAGCGGCTGGAGGTGAGCTTAGGACTGACCCCCCGTTTGGGTATAGGCTAGGACCCCCTTTGGTTGTAGGTGTGTAGTTTTGTAGCCTTCCCCAGCAAACAGCCACAATAGAAGGTCAACCTATTGCCTTCAACTGTGACCATCTCAAGAACTTCCTCCTGCCTTGAAGCACATCAGACACCTCTGTCCCGTGCCCTCTTAGGACCATCTTCCCGATCTTGTTACTTCTAGATGGAGCTAAAATTTTTCCTCCCCATCTCTCCCCCTTCCCTCCTTCGGTTCCCAGGGAGCAGCCCGAAGGACCCCATGGCCCGGAAGATGCGCTTGCGGAGACGCAAAGATTCAGCCCAAGACGATCAGGCCAAGCAGGTGTTGAAAGGCATGTCAGATGTGGCCCAGGAGAAGAATAAGAAGCTGGAGGTAAGGCGGTGACCACAAGGTTGGGTTCCTCTCCCGGTGAGACCCCCCACGGCTGCGGAGGAAACGGGCGAGCTGTCATGGGAGCTAAAAGGAAAAGGCCTCCCCTTTTCGCCTTTAGGAGAACGGAGACCTAAAATACACGGATCTGAAGACCCGCCGCTGGGACCAGAGTTTGGAGAAACCTCACCTCAACTATTCGGAGTTCTTCACGGAAGAGGTGGGCCAGTTGCCAGGGGTCACCGTCTGGCAGATCGAGAATTTCGTGCCCATCATGGTGGATGAGGCTTTCCACGGGAAGTTCTACGAAGCCGATTGCTACATTGTGCTGAAGGTGGGCATGGCCAAAGGCCCGGGGTGTGTGTGTGTGTGTGTGTGTGTGTGACTATGATCTTCCCACAGCCGTACACTTACCTATCTCAGAACTGGTCTACGGCAACGCCTTTCAGCCCCTTTACAGAAGTTGGGCGAGGTATCTGGCCTGCAGCCCACATCTGGTCATGGCCTCTCAAAGTTGTGGAGAGCAGATCGCGCAGAGAGGAAACTTTTTCTGGAGTTGGAAATAGAGTCATGCAGGCAACCCTCAACTTAGGACCGATTGCTCAACAATTGTTCAAGGTTACGACAGACCTACCGTTGGTTACTTAACGATACAGATTCAAGCGTCGGGTGTTCGTGTGATTGGGCTTGGGAGTACTAAGCAACCGGGTTGCAATAACCACCACAAAAAAGATCGTAAAAGGGGGTTGGTTGTGTTTTATGGGCAGGCTCCGTTATTGTCCTAAGCCAAGGACTACCTGTTCGTTCAAGAAGAACAGAAATACTGACGCAGAACCCAGGTAGACTTTTTCCCCCCTCCAACTCCTAATTGCTCTTCTCCAGACGTTCCTGGATGACAGCGGATCCTTGAACTGGGAGATCTACTACTGGATCGGCCAGGAATCCTCCCTGGACAAGAAGGCCTGTTCGGCCATCCACGCCGTCAACCTGCGGAACTTCCTGGGGGCTGAGTGCCGGAGTATTCGAGAAGAGATGGGGGAAGAGAGCGATGAGTTCAGCCAGGTACCCACCTTTCTCTTGGGGGCTTCCCTTCCGGAGACCTCGGCAAAGACCCAGGTCCTCAGAACTGCAGGGAGTGGCCCAGAGAAATTGTGAACAGGAGGAAAGACGATAAAACAAGAGCAAAGTGACTTAACTGTCAACTCATAAAACATTTTCTATACATGCTTTATAGTTGTCAACAGAAAGAAGCGAGGGGGGGGGAGTTTCAAAGAGCAGGCGGCAGTGTGGAATTGAAAGTACGTTCCATTCATGTTTTCTTCAAAGACTGATTCGATGACCGAAGCTTCTGCCATGCAAAAATCTAATTGGAGGGCATGATTGATGACTCTCGGCTATGGACGTGTTTCCTTGGAGAATATGAATTATGATACACCCAGAGGGGTGGGGGTTGGGGAAAGCAGGATCAAAGGTGACAGTGAATTACGTGTCTCAGAGCCGGCTACGCCCAGGTCATGCCAACACGTTGACTTCCAATAAATCCTTTGAAGTTTTTGGGAGTTTGGTCAAGACTCATGATTGAATTGGATAACTGCTGGAATCCTGACATTAACATCGAAATAGGTTTTCTGTGCTATTGTGAGGAGAAGAGGGTTAAGAGCTGGCTTGCGTGTTTAATCCGCGAGGGCGTGGCAGGTTGGCTTTAATTTAATGATTTCTGCCTTTCCGCTTTTGGAAATCCCATTTCTGGACACCAGGTGTTTGATCACGAGATCTCCTACATCGAAGGGGGCACGGCGAGCGGCTTCTACACGGTGGAAGACATCCATTATGTCACCAGGTAAACCATGAAGCACCCGCATAATTCACGTTTTAGCTCCAGGTGCTCAGGATGAAGCCAGGGGTTACATTTGGGAGCTGGAGAAGGCCTGAATCTCTCGATTCAAAAATAACGACTTCACAGGCTCATTCTGCTCTTCCTCTGCCTGCAACCGCCATGAGCTAGGATTACCTGGTGGCGTTTCAGGAGATAGAGAGGCTCTTTGGATTGGGGACCTGCCTGCTATCCTGACTTGCCCCCAAACTAGCCAGCTTGCAAATCTCCAAGTTTAAAGTCTTTTCTAGCCTGCCAATTCTGCGATGGCTCCTTTGCGGAGGCTGCAGTCATTATTTCAGCCTCTTTGAATGTCTTAAGAGGAGAGAGAGAGTGATTATCAATTGCACAACATTCGTTTCTTGGGGGGTTTTGCGCTGCCCCCACCCCCAAGTGGCTATGATCAAGCTGTTGTTTCTGCCATTTCAATGCAGGCTTTACCGTGTTTACGGAAAGAAGAATATCAAATTGGAACCAGTTCCCCTGAAAGCGACTGCTTTAGATCCTCGGTAAATAACGCAGGGCAGCCTCCTTTTGAAGTCTTGAGTCCCCGCGGTCTGCTGGGGTGGGGGTGGCTGGGAAAATGCTGCTGGCTATTTATTTATTTTCTCTTTTAAAAACCCATTTCTCCGCTCTCCCTTTTCTTTCTTCCCTTCTAGTTTTGTCTTCCTGTTGGATCACGGCCTTGAGATCTACATCTGGAGGGGCAGCCAGGCTACCCTAAATGGTACCACCAAAGCCAGGTGAGTGCCAAAAGGAGGCTGTGGCACAGCTGGGCTCTGAAACATCTGGGGGAGTTCTGCAGAGGTGCACTGACTTTAGCTCCGTCACTATCTGACCTTGCCATTATTGCCAGCACCCCCAAAAATGGATTCCAGGGGAATCCATTTCGTGGTGACGTCCGACTCCAAAAAAAGACACGTTGAGATTTTGCAAGCAGATTTCTTTATTGTTCCTCACCTGTAGATGCAAAACCTGCCAAACTAAAGCCAACTACTTGGACCATAACCATAGGCTCTGGGAACCATTGAGGAGGAGCTGTCTTCACCCTCTTTCTCACACACAAACTCTCTAAGCTGCTTTGCCTCCTGCTCCTCTGGAATTCCCTCCCGGGAATCTGGGCAACAGTCCACCCCATGGAGGGGAGGGGGTTTGGGGAGGGGGGGGAGATCTGGTACCTCAGTGTGTCTCCTTGGTCCGGGTTCCCTTTCGTTCTGCTGGTTCTGGATTTGTCTCCTCTCTTCGCAGGCTCTTCGCTGAGAAGATCAACAAGAATGAGCGGAAGGGCAAGGCGGAAATCCTGCTGCTGACTCAGACGGAGGAGACCCCGGAATTCTGGGACCTCCTTGGTGGGCAGGCAGAAGAGATCAAGGCCAACGTCCCCGATGACTTCAAGCCCCCCAGACCCAAGCTGTACAAGGTGAGGCGGGAGGGAGTTGAGGAGAACTTCAGAGCCAACGTCAGCCGCCTCCACCCAATTCTGGGGGAATTTTCCGGAAACACGCTTCCTTTCTTGCAAACCAAATGAACCTGCTCTAGACCTTACAGTAGTTTGGGGGTATTTATGCCTAGAGGTGTTGATTGTGAGAGAAGGCAGGACTTTGGAAAATCAGTGTTTATGTCATGAATCACAGCCAGGCTGGCTCCAACTGGGCTTTGCTTGCGTCCTTCTCTGGGTAAGCGCTCTTCCTCCTCCTCCTCCTGTGCAGGTTGGCTTGGGACTGGGCTACCTGGAGCTGCCCCAGATCAACTACAGGCTCTCTGTGGAGCACAAGAAAAGGCCATCCGCGGACCTGTCGCCCGAAATGAGGCTGGTAGGAACAATGTCTGGAAGGTGCTGATGGGACCAGAGGACTAGATGGTTTCTGGTTCAAGGTTCTAGTCCAGAACCTGTTGCTTTGGACCTCTCTTACCTTCCAAGAGTCCAGTCATCATCTCAGCCATCGTCTTCTGTCTTCTCCTTTGGGCAGCTCCAGAGCCTGCTGGACACCAAGTCGGTCTACATTCTGGACTGCTGGTCAGACGTTTTCATCTGGATTGGCCGGAAGTCCTCACGCCTGGTGCGGGCGGCTGCTCTCAAACTGGGCCAGGAGCTGTGCAGCATGCTTCACCGCCCCAAACACGCCATGGTCATCCGGAACCTGGAGGGCACCGAGTGCCAGGTTGGAAGGAGGGAGGGCGGGGTGCTCCCAAAGGACCCTAACCCTCTTCCGGGGTTGGTTGGGCCGTATTTGCCCGCTTGGCAGGAGAGGGAAGATACCCGTGGGAAGCTGCAGGGTTCAGACAGTTACGGGGCAGAATTGGCAAAGCGATGTGGCTGCTTCTGGCCCTGAGTGAAGCTTTGCGGGGGACCAAGGTCTCAGCTGAAGAGGTGGTCCTACAAGAAAGTAGAGTCAGCTTATATTTCACGCATGGGGGATTCTGGGAAGGTGGGTCCTCAGCTGAAGAAGGCTGGACTTGATTGGCTCTTCATGATTCTCAGAACTCCATGGTAGACCACCATGAATATTTTGAAGAAAATGATAGCAATAAATCTTAAAAATAAAGAGACACGTGATCTGTTTTAAAGGGTTCTGATGGTAGCAGGAGTTCCAATGATGCCAAACTCTGGCACAATTAATTAAAGTTTTAAAACTACTATTAATTTAATTGCGGGAGACAATGTCTTGATATAGGTAAGACTGCTTCCGATTCAAGACGGATTTCAGTTCTTAAGGAGCGTTTCCTTTATTTTGTGTTCCGGAGGGAAAACGTTTACCCCCAAATTTAAAAGTGAAAACTACTTCTAGCATAGTTTTCTTCTGCTTGATCTGGATTTTCTGATGGGGATCCGTGTCCCTGCCAGGTCTTCAAATCCAAATTCAAGAACTGGGATGACGTTCTGAAGGTGGACTACACCCGCAACGCCGAAGCGGTCCATCAACCCGGTGGCCTCTCAGGAAAAGTCCAGAAGGATTCCGAGAAGAAGGACCAGCTCAAGGCTGACTTGACTGCCCTGTTTCTGCCACGTCAGCCCCCGATGCCTCTGAGCGAGGTAGGTGCTACAAGGGGGAGAGAACCAAGCTAGGTCCACCGCTCTGGCTCCCTTCTGTGGAAGCAGGTAAAGCATTCTGCAAACTAGCATTTCTCAACCATGACGGCTTGAGTTTAACTCTCAGAATCCACCAGCCGGAGGAGCTGGCTGGGGAATTCTGGGACTTGAAGTCCACCCAACTTCAACTTGGGTGAAGGTTGAGAAACGCTCCTCCAAACATTGGACAATTATGACAAAGCATCTCTTTGAGACACCTAGAACATTTCCCCACCCAAGACATTCCTCCGTTCTTGCACTTCCGGTGTCTCCGTTGAAGGCCCCCTTGGTGACTCAGGTCTTCGGGTGGGTGGTTGCTTATCCCCCCCCTCCCCCCACAGGCAGAGCAGCTCATGGAAGAATGGAATGAAGACCTGGACGGCATGGAAGGCTTCGTCCTGGAGAACAAGAAGTTCACCCGGCTGCCGGAAGAGGAATTTGGCCACTTCTATACCCAGGATTGCTACGTCTTTCTCTGCCGGTAGGTCATCTCGCCCGCTTTCCAGGTGCTCCATGACCTTGGTTCCCGGGAGGATCTTTCTGTCTCGCCTTCTTCCTTTGTCCAAATCAGTGCTGTGCACGGTGTTCCTCCGAGTAGGGAAGCGGGTTGAGAGCAGGTGCTTCTTCAGAAAGGCTGTTCATGGATGTTCACTTTGGGACCCAACCCCTATGAGATGCCCTTCCTGTGGAGTCCCACGTGGGCCCTTTGGACATGCCCAGCCAACCCCACCCCTCCCTCAAGATGTTCTCAGACGTTCTCTGGGGTCTCCACCCCTCAGAGCTGCTTCGCATGATCCTTGGGCCACCTCCGTTCTGCTCGAGAAGGAGTAACTGAGTAACTTTGGTTTTGTCCCGTGAGGTACTGGATCCCTGTGGAGACAGAGGAAGATGAGGAGGAGAAGAAGAAGAAGAAGAGAGAGGAAGGGAACGCTGAAGGCGAGAAGGAGGAGGAGGAGGAAGAGGAGGAGGTGGAAGAAGAGAAGCAGCCAGAAGAAGACTTTCAGTGTGTGGTTTATTTCTGGCAGGGCCGCGAGGCCTCCAACATGGGGTGGCTGACCTTCACTTTCAGCCTCCAGAAGAAATTTGAGAACCTTTTCCCAGGCAAGCTGGAGGTGAGCCAGAGGGTCGTCCCTGGGGCTGGAAGGAGAGGCGGGAACCGGGAGCATCCATCCCCTCTGCAGTGTTTTCAAACTCGGGGGATTCTGGGAGTTGAAGTCCACCCATCTTAAAGGAGTCAGGTTTGAGGACCGCTGCTCTAGGAGCTGAGCTGGAATAAATTATCCCATCCTCCGTATCTGTGCATCGTTGACCAGGATGTTTGGCCAGAGGAAGGCAGGGATGCTAAACTAGTCCTGCCCGGATGTGCCGGACTTCACCTCCCAGAATCCCCCCACCTAGAATGGGAAATGCTCCCTTATTAATCTGGCCTGGAAAGGACAGTTCTTAAAACACACACACACACATAAGGTTTAAATACTCTTCAAGATCCTTCTGCTTTTCCAAGGGAGTTGTGTGTCTGTCTGTTCCTCCTTCCCGCCTCCTCCTCGGCCGTTTGCAAGAGGCAGCCAAGGCCCCACAGCCAGGCTGGTGCATTCTGGGTGGATTCATCCCCCCCCCCCCCACAATTACAAGCAGGGCTGACCTTTCTGCACGCCCCCCCTTCCCCCAAATCCTCCAGGTTGTGCGCATGACGCAGCAGCAGGAGAACCCCAAGTTCCTCTCCCACTTCAAGAGGAAATTCATCATTCACAAGGGGAAGAGGAAAGCCAGGGATGACAACCTCCAGCCCAGCCTCTACCACATCCGTACCAACGGCAGCGCACTCTGTACCCGGTGAGGAGCTCCGTTGCCTGGGGCCGGGTTGAGGTCCTGGACCTCTGGACTTGCAAGAGACTCTTTGCAGCCCCAGAGGGGATTGAAGTCCTGCTGGAACCTGGGAGAAGTCCCCCCGTTTCTGCCCTCCTTGCATTTTGGGACCTCCCAACTGAGTTGACACAAGGGTTTGGATCTGGGACCCCAGAGCTGGAGAGCTGTCGGCCAAAATGCAACGTGAGCATTTCTAAAAGAAGGTTGGCCCAGCCTCTGCTAAGCCCCAATTCCTCCCGCCAACTTCAGAAACGGTTTGTTCTGGAGTCAAAGACCAAACCTGTCATCTTCAGGAGACACCTCGCCTTCGGCCACAGCTGGCTTCCTTGACATCCCAGCCCCTCCTTGGCAAACAAGATTAATCCCCTTGGTCACTCGTCTCTGGCCGTGTGCCAGTCCATCAACCCAACTCCCCAAACCCAAATCTATCAGCCCAAACCCAGGGAGGAAAAGGTCCCTGTGCTTCTCTCCCTTGGTCCCCGTGGGTGCTGATGGTCTCCCGACCTTCCTCTCCAGGTGCATCCAGATCAACACGGACTCTGGCCTTCTGAACTCTGAATTCTGCTTCATTTTGAAGGTAATCTAAGCCACCGACGGATGAAAACGGAATAGTTGCGTCTTTTTTTTTTTTAATCTGATGTTCTTTTGTAAAATGCAGCATGGCAGTTGGAATTCAAGCCCTCTTTCTGGGGGACCGACCCCCACCCCCCAAATTGGTGCCCCCAGAATGCTAACAATTTCGTACCCCCACCGGCCGTGCTGGCTCCGAATTCATGTAGCCTGAACACCTCTTGTGAAATCTGGGCAGGAGAAGGCTGACTTCTAACACAGGGATGTCCTACCTTTGCAACTTTTAAGACTTGGGGATTTCAACTCCCAGAATTCTCCTTCCAGGTTCCCTTTGAGAGTTCCGACAACCAGGGCATCGTGTACACCTGGGTCGGCCGAGCTGCCAACCCCGATGAAGCCAAGCTGGCCGAAGATATCATGAATCACATGTTTGACGACTCGTACAGCAAACAGGTAAAGAGAACAAATGGAATATCTGTAACTCAGGGTTGAATGGTGGGGTCCTCGGTGCGCCCTGAAGTTGTTTCCTTGCAGATGTTTCATGACCAAACTAGGTAACATCAGCAGTGCTAGAAGGGAGGGGGGTTTTGTGTAGTAGAGAAGGAGGACGACTGCGGGCTCCTTGGTGCTCTGAGCTTCATTCTTTTCTTGAGGACATTTCATGACCCAGCTAGGTAGCAACATCAGTGCTAAAAGAGAGAGGGGTTTGTGGGGGGGAAGGAGGAGAGGACTGTGGGGTCCTTGGTGCTCTCTGAGCTTGGCTGCTTTCTTGCAGACATTTCATGACCCAACTAGGTGACATCATCAGTGCTAGGAGGAAGTGAGGATTGCTCCATATTTACTGTATATACTGTAGCAATCTTGACCACCACACTTCCTGGCCAGCAATCAACAGCCTAATGGCGGAACCACCAAGAGCCCCCACAGGGCAAGCCACGTGTGTAGAAAGAGAGAGCAACCCCCTTCTAGCACTGATGATGTTACCCACAGTGGTTGGTTGGGTCATGAAACGTCTCCAAGAGAACAACCAAGCTCAAAGCAAGGACCCCACAGGTGAAGACCGTCTGGGTGGGAAAACCCACCAGCAAATCTCTCCCACTTCCCTTCCTCTCCTCTCCTCTCCTTGGTTTGCAGGTGATCAATGAGGGAGAAGAGCCGGAGAATTTCTTTTGGGTCGGGATCGGAGCCCAGAAACCTTACGATGGAGATGCCGAATACATGAACTTCTCCCGTCTTTTCAGGTGAGCCAGTGGGGCCCCGGGGTGGATCCCTTCTTCCCTGGCAGGAGCCAAAGCCCTCCCTCCCTTTATACCACCTCTCCTTAAGCTTCTCTGCTTTGTAGTCGGCTTATGGCTGCTTGTAAGTCAACTTACTGGCCAGACAGGCAGCATATCAATTTAATAAAAATAAAATAAAAATAAATTTCCAGAGAAGGAGCTGCCCTTATTTCCCAAATTCGTCATTATCCAGCAAGATGAGTCTGAATTTCCTCCTGGGAGGGTGGAGACAGGTGTCCCTTCCTCCTCCTCCTCCTCCTGCTCTGAGTTCTTTTCCTGGCTTTCTCCCCCAGGTGCTCCAACGAGAAGGGCTACTTTGCGGTGTCCGAAAAATGCTCCGATTTCTGCCAGGATGACCTGGCGGATGACGACATCATGTTGCTGGACAATGGCTGCGAGGTCAGTCTGGGGCAGGAGCCGGACGGGACCCTTGGCCAGCTTTGGCCTCTGCGGCTTCTTGTGAAGTGTTGGGAACCAGAAGGAGACGCCTGCTGTGGTCTCCTCTGCAGAAGACACGCCCAGTCACATCTCTTCTTTCTTCTTCTTCCTCCTCCTCCTTCTCTTCCAGGTCTACATGTGGGTGGGGACGCAGACCAGCCAGGTGGAGATCAAGTTGAGCCTCAAAGCTTGCCAGGTAACAGCCCAGAAGGGTTGCTGACCATTCAGGGTGGACACTGGAGGAAGCTCCGTGTTCCTCTCCTGCATTGGCTTCAGCCCGGTTTTGCTGGCTGGGGAGGAAAGACCTTCCGTCTCCCAGACTTCTCCACTCTAAGATGCACAGGCAGTCCTCAACATACGACCGTTTGCTTAGGGACGCTGCAACTGTCATAAACACGAGTCGGTTGCTAAGCACCTGGACTTTGACCACATGGCCCTGGGGATGCTGGCAGAGGTCCGAGGTCTGAAAAACAATCCCTTCTTTTCAGTGCCGTGGCAACCTAGAACTGTCACTAAATGAACTGTTGTAAATCGAGGACTGCCTGTTTGTACTCAGTTTTGAAAGGTATGAGGAATTCAAGAAGTGACATATAGGTCAGGGGCCTCCAACCTTGGCCACTTTTAAGACTTGTGGACTTCAGTTCCCAGAATTCCTCAGCCAGCAAAGTTGGCTGAGGAATTCTGGGAGTTGAAGTCCACAAGTCTTAAAAGTGGCCAAGGTTGGTGACCCCTGATGTAGGTTATAAGGTCACGTTTTGAATATTTTTGTCAGGATTCCAGCAATCACCCTAATTAAATCATGATTCTCGAGCCAAACTTCAAAAAACTTCCAAGGATTCGTTAGAGGCGACCTCCTGGCCCTGCCCTGTATGAAGCCCCCTGTGACCCCCTTTCCCCCCCCCCCCCCCGCCCTTCCGGGTGTCTCCTAAACCAGATTCTCCAACTGAGCACCTTGACGGTGTCATCAATCACATTCTCCAATTAAATATATTCTCAGGCAAAAGCTCCGGTAGTTTAGCTACAGTCTTTTAAAGATAAAGAGTTGGAATGTACTTTGGCTTTTAAACTTTGGCTTCCAGATTTCCTCCCCCCCCCCCCTTTTTTTTTTTTTTATGGCAACTACTAAAACAGGCACCGGAACGTTGTAGGAGTTGACATTTTTCAGGCTCCACTTTCCGCTTGCTGGTCTTGAACCGCTTTCCCTCCCTCCCTCCTCAGGTCTACATCCAGCACATGCGGTCCAAAGATGCCAGCCGGCCCCGGAAGCTCCGCCTGGTGCGCAAAGGCAACGAGCCGCTTCCCTTCACCCGCTGCTTCCACGCCTGGAGCGTTTTCCGGAAGCCGCCAGCTTAAGGGCGGCACCCGGTGCCCAACCTCAGGCCTCGCCTGCCACCCGCAGCAGCCACCCCCACCCCCCATGGGGATTCCTCCAACAGATGGGCTTTGTAGTCTTGTGCCAGCGCTGGGCGGTCCATCCCCTGCCCGGCACTGCAACGCGCTTCTCTTCGAGCTGCGGACTGGAGAAAAGGTTACTCGGGGGGGGGGAGGGGAATTGCTCCCTCCCACCTCCAAAATCCCCCCCCTCCTGCTTCCATTCCCAGTGCCAGTCAAAATCTCCTTTCCCGGTTTCCTCCCCAAGCTGTTTCAGGCGCCTGGCCTTCTCTCTTAGCCATTGTTACAGCCAAGAAATCTTGGTTTTCCTCCCCCCTCAACCCCTCCTTTGTTGCCCCCCAGGTGCTCTCTGGAGCCCCCTCCCCCTGGCTCAGGAGCAGCAACCTTGCGCAGGCCAGGCTGAGGCCCAGGAGGGTCCCCCTGCTTTTGGGGGGAAAGGGGGTGTCTCTGGCTAAGGCTTGCAAAGAGATTTCTGAATTAAGTTTGGAACAGAAGCAGAGAAATTTAATGGGGGGGGGGTAGAAGCCCCTGACCTGCAAACCGAATGTAAGATCCTGCCCCCCCCCCCATTTTCCACCCCCCCCCCAAGAAGGAAGAATTTCAGCAGGTGCTTTTGTGCTCCTCAAGGCCACCCCTGGCTAAAATTCTTGTATTATTATTTTTTACAACTACTAAAAGCACAATTCTCTTTTATTGCCTTCCGGTTGAAATGCCTGTCCCTCCCTCTCTTCCTTCCTTCCTTCCTTCCTTCCTTCTTTGCACTGAATTACAGAGTTTAAAGCAAAAAAAAAAAAACCAAGCTTGGTCACACAAACAAGGGGTGTCCTGCTTGCTCCTAGTCCTCAAGAGGTTTGGAAAAGCAGGTCTCTTGCCAACTTTCCGCTTTGCAGTCTGTTGCGGTGGCCCCCCCGTTCCTTCCTAGGTGCCACCCTTTGGGAAGGGTGAGAAGAAAGCCACAGGGGGTGTGGGTGGGGTGGGGGGAGAACTTTTGTAAAAGCAGGAGAAGTGGCACCTATTTTAAACCCAGCCTGGGTCAACTTGGTGCGGCATCAACATCTGCAGCAATTGCTACCAGCTGCAGAGCGCATGGCCAAAGGCAGGCTAACTCCAAAACAGCCACAGCAGCAGCAGGCAGGAATGCAACCGGCAAAGCGCAAGGGCTGCGTCTCTGGCCCGGCACGAACACAGCGCAGTGGGCATCCGTCCGTCCCAGGGCTTCACAAGCTTTCTTGTTAAGTTCTCAATAAAGATTGCAAAGATGGCCGTTTGTGAGCTGCCGTGTGGCGTCCTTCTCTTCTGACGGCCAGAAGCGCCCCCGTCAATTTTTAGCGGGTTTCCTCCCCTCTTAGGTGTCGGTCCTCTAAACGGCGTTTCCCCCTCCTTGCCCGGTAGCAGGAAAAGGTCCAGTATTTTGATGTTTGCAAGCTACACTTTCTCCGCTTCCTGCAATGAGGGGCGGTGAGAAACTAGACACGGAGAGGCTGCATTAGATAGTAAATGCTTTATTCTTCCTTTATTAAAAACCTGCATTAATTACTAAACAATGCTAAATCCATTCTCTGGACCAAAAAAAAGGGGGGGGGGTGGAATCCGAAGAGGACGTTCTACAGGAAAACTAGCCCCCTCCCCCCCTCCGTGGCTACCACAAAAAAAAAAACAGACTCACAATGGCACACGTCCAGACACCCACACAGACACCCGTCAGGCACTCTCTCACACACACACAGAGCAAGGATCGAATCGTACCTTTCCACCCAAGTGGACTTTCAAAGGTCCCAAAAAAAGCTGGGGAGCCCAATTCTCACGTACATCAAAAAGGGGGGATTTATTTCTGAAGGTTTTGGTCCCCACTTCTTAGCTTCCCCGCCATCTTATCCACCCTCCAGGGGAGTTTTCTTGGCACAAAAGCAGCAGCCGTGAGAAAAAGGAATCCTTCCGAGCAGAAAACGGAGCTTGAGGTCCTGCGACAGGCTCATCTTTTTGGCACTAGAAGTTCTCCCACCTCAGCGGGGAAACATGGAGGTGAAGCAGGCAAAAACCCACCCCCGCCCCAGAGAAAGGGGTCCGTGATGCTGGGCGGCAGTGGGGAGAGGGGGGGGGAGCACTGACCGGTGGGCCAAAGCCCCGTATTTTGGAGACAAGGTCTCCGCAACCTACGCCAAAACACTGCAGCTTTTGCACAGTGGCGCACGCAGCTCATTCTTGCAAAGTCCTTTCGGTGGCTTGCAAAAAATCCCAGCAAGAGGTTTTCTAAGGCAGGAAAGACACCCCCCATCCCACCCCAAAAAACCCCACGAAGACCTTTGGGGCGGCATGCAGCGTGCCTCGGACTGGTGAGGGTCGGCAGCCGCTGCAGAAATTGGGATCATCAGGCCAAACTGGAGCTGGCTCAGCCAAATTCGGCACAGGCAGCCAAAGCCGGGATTTCTAACGGGGGGAAGCTGGAGGTCAGGGGACCTGTACCCCGAGATTCCTAAGAGCTGGCCAGATAAAGAGAAGGCAAGCCCACCAAGGGGTCCCAAGGCTTTTGCTTCCTGCGCTCAATGGAGGAGACCCCGCATTCTTCAGGGCATCCAGACCAAAACCCCATCCTGAGCTCAGCGAAAACTCTTCATTTCCTAGACTCGGGGAGCCCCCTCCTCGGGTTGAAAGACCAAGTGGGGAGGAAAGCAGAAACAGAAACCGCCCTTATTTACCATCCTATCATCTCCTGGGATGAAGAGAGAGACATCAGCTCTGTACCAAACCCAGTTAACTTTCCCTCCCCAACACCCCCCCCTCCAAAAAAAACCCCCAGGAAACTGGAACCTCAGAACCAAAAGAGGAAGCTACTTTTGGCATTGCTAAATTAACCCCAAATCTACAAAACTCTTTTAAGTCAAATTGGGCCCACAGACAGTTAGGAAGGAGGTGAGGGGTTTGCTCCTGCTTTGCCCATCCAATTCTCGGGGGAGGGGGGAGTGAATAGAAGGACTTGGAATTTCTCACCCCTCGTTCTGAACATTCAAATAATGGGAGAAAAGTGAACGACATCAGAAAGGTATCGTAGTGTTTCTTGGACCGCTATCATTTCCTTGTGCAGCCCCGTGGCTTCCTATTTCACAGAATCGGCTTTGTGCTCGGGTAAACGCTCCCCATTAGAAATCTTGTGTAACGAAGAAATGGGGGGGGGGGGAAATAGTCTTCAACCGTTCCCTCCAAATTAAGAGGACGGGAGGGAGGGAGAAGGGGGGGAGGAGGAATGATAGTGAAGGAGAAGGAATGACGGTGGAAGAGAAGGTTGCTTTCCATCAGTGTCACCAAACGCTTTCCTCAAATCCGCTCTTGGCCTCAAAAAGTTCCCGCCAGAGAGCAGAAAATACTTCATTGGTCGTTGGATCCAGGACAACTTTTCCCAGGGAGGTCGGCCCAACGATAACGGAGAGTTCTGAAGAGGACCAAGGATGTTCCAAGGAGAATCCCAGCCTGGGCAGCCCCTCCCGCGTCCAGCAGGAGGCAGGGGGAGGAACCGCCCAGCGTTGCATCGCAGCCAAGTCCCCTCCCTCCGTCTTCTGTCCATCAAAAGCTCCTTGTCCCCCACCGGAGGCCCCGCTGGGCCAAAAGACCCCAATCCCTTTCTTAGGGGGGGGGGGGGGGGGGGGGGGGAGACCTCAGCCCAGTCATCCCCAAAGAGGCTTTTGTCCCCAAAGAAAACGCTTATCAAAGTCCCCCCAAGTCTCTGTGCAATGGAAGAGCAGCAGACGCTCCGAAAGTGGTTCCCTCCAGGACGTTGGCACGTTTTTCTGTTTTGTTTTTTTTCTCTTTTCC